ACACCTCCTCTTGAGCCTTCTTGTTCTTATTGTCCTCATCTTTTGACACAGGCGGTGTGGACACAGCCTCTGTGGGCGGCGTGTTCGACATCTCCAACGCTGACCGTCTGGGCTCCTCTGAGGTGGATCAGGTCCAGCTGGTGGTCGATGGCGTCAAGCTGATGGTTGAGATGGAGAAGAAGCTTGAGAAGGGAGAGTCCATTGATGGCATGATCCCCGCCCAGAAGTAAAGTGGACAGACATCCCACGATCGAATGACTGTCGGAGTTTGTTTTGTTTTTTTATTTTATAAAAAAATGAAGCGGTAGCCTTGTTGTAAAGTTATTTTACTGGTTTCGGCCAACTGGCTACTTTCTGCTTTCTTCTTTCCGTCAACAGACACTCCACTTCTCTTTATCCTCCTTCCTTTCTTACTTACTTCTGCCATCATTACTCCTCTCATCCTCTCCTCTACTGTCTTTGGTTTCTTCCAACTCTAACCATCTCTCTTCTCATCATCTCGGTAACATCCTGGGATCAATCCATACATAGTCTGACCATGGCTATGTACACGCACACCAAAGGAATTTTTTTTTGGTTGTACAATATAATGGACTATTAAATGATGCCCCACGTGACAATCAAGCTTCCTGGTTATGTCATCTTTTCTTTGAGATCTCCTGAGAAGAGAACATTAATTTCACTGGCAGCAATCACAAAACAGACATAAAATAAGAAAGAGGTTGAAAGTCTTTATTTTTGTGTGACACATTATTTCCAAGGAGACATGCAGGATTGCAGGTCGATCATTTCTGTAATTTCAGCCCATAAGTTAAGTTTTACTGATAACAGCGACGGCTTTAAACACACTACACAACAGAACTGTAGCCTTAAAGCGCGGCCCTAACCGTATCTAGAGAACAGCCCCACGGGGCGAGGCTCCGTTATACACGAAATAAAAAAATAAAACAAACAAAAAAGAAAGAAATCTGCAAAACTAGCCCTAAATCACAGCTTCACATTATCAGACAGCGGTGGAGACCTGCCGCGGCTGAAATCTCCCATGAAACAGATAAATTGCTGTAGTGAAAGATCACAAATCTGCTCTAACATCCAACATTTCCATTCCCAGTGTTTTGTCAGATGCTGCATACTTGAAAAGGACAAGTTATAGTTGCGTAGCTTTATAGAGTTACAATAGACGTACAACAACCTTTTGATTTTGGAGTTATCAGTGTCCGTGCACCAATGTGTGATCACCGTAGCGCTAAGCGGAGTCTCTGTTGGTATAATTTTGGTAACTATGATCTTTAATGAGCAGCAAAGTGTTGTTTTTATAAAAGAAAAATGAATTCTTAAAGGTCATTCAAGGTCACATTCCCCCTTTAAACTACTGCCTCATCAACGCGCACGCCACAAGCTTTGACAAGGCAGGAGTTCGATTGGTTAACAGTCAAAAACCTCTTACAGCAATACTTAAGTCTGGTTGGTCAACAGTCATACACCTTTCAGCAGTGCTGCAGTCTGATTGGTAAACAGAGGATAAAGTCTACAGTTTGGTAAAGATGTTTCAAAGAAGAAATCAGTGTAATAAAGCACAAAAAAAAAGACTGATGTAAGACAGATTTTCATTTGAGTTGAGAGTTCATCAGAAATTTGGTACTTTTTAAACGTACCTGTACATCGGTTCCCTCTAATTTGGTTACAGTAACGTCACTGTAACCAAGTGGCACATCTACCTGGAAACCTGAAGACGTCACAGCTGGTTTTACCATGTAAAGTCAAGCAGCCATATAAGCAAAGAAAGACATTCAGGATGATTCTTAGTATTCTTTGTATTGGGCTTTAAATGGGTGAAAGAAAAAAATGGGATGTTAAAAAGAAAAAAGGGGAAAAAGTTTTTAAAAATAGAAAAGAAAGTGCTCAACAAAATTCAAAAAGGTTACAGCAATAAAAATAAAATAAAAATAAAACAAACAAGGAGCCCTGTTATCGGTGCTTATTCAAGTCTTGATTCTTGGCTTTGTGTCTGCATTGCACTACACTCAAGTGAAGCAAAAAGCTGGGATACTGTTTCGTACTGTTAACTACCCAGTGAAGCGTCAGCTCCTACACTACAGTATGTTTGAGGATAAAATTATGAGGAAAAAACCTAAAGGTCTCTTTCTTCCTTTTATGAATGTTTTTATTAAAAATATGAGTCATCACTTTTGGAAAATGGACCAAGTTTTTAACCTCTCAGCATCTGCCAGCTCAAGCGTTTATGGTTAGGTGAAGGGAAAACAGCGATTCCAGGGTGAACTGATAAGACTTCGTGTGGCATGTGGCTAAAACAAAACCCTGAGCAGGTCATGAGTGATCCAGGAGACTGTCAGAAGCAGGAGGTTAAATCGTGTTTGGATTAGCCTGGTAAAACAGGAAGTGGATCTTTTTAGTTGCCATTTTTTTTAAAGAAGTATTCCTTTTTAAAATTTTGATGGGCAAAAATGTATTTTCATTAAATGCATTTTACTCTTTATTTACTGGAACTACTTTCATCAGGACCAGTGCGTAGGAGTCCCGAAGCTCCATTAGCAGAAATGTATATGGCATTCATAGTTATGTTTACATTAGTGTATAAGCACATGTAACTACGCATTGCACATTTTTAGCTTAACTTTAGCCATTTGTATCTACACAGTGAGAGCTTGTCCTGCATCCAGAGCATCGAACCGTCAACTGGGTCAGACTAAGAAACCCAAAGACCGGCTTAAGAGAGAGCCTAACATGTGGATGTTTTCCCCAACCTCACTCTTAGATGCTACAAAATCCTACACACTGGTTGTTTAACTTGTGTGTCTGTGTCACAATAATGCACTCCGATTGGCTTGTTGTTTTTGTTTGTTTTTTTAAGAAAAATACAACATAAAACTGATGAAACCAACATGGATACAGGAACTTCCTGTTAGGTATTAAAATTAATTTCTTCTATTGCAAGGAACACATTAAACGTAGCACTTTAAAGGACAAACATTTGGTGAAGTTGTATTTGTTTTTAAGGATCAGAGCGAACGCTTAAATAATCAGGTTGGTCCTGTATTATTAGGCAGCTTTGCTTGTCTGTAAGCGCTTCATCTGCCAGCTATGAGCCCAGCAGGCAGAGAAGCAGTTTACCTGAAATGATGCAAACACGTCAGACTCCCAAATGAGCAGGAAACACCACTTTTGTCCATGGATGGGCAGAAATTCTGCAACGCTTGTCTTTGCATTTCTGCATGTCTCCCTCTAGAGGCCGGAGGTCACACTACGCCCTCGCTTAAATATGTGACGTTTGCCAAATGTCTGCCCGTTTTAAAAGCACTAAAGAAAGAAAATAAACTTAATACACAAAAATGAAAACATTTCTTTAAATAGCAGCTCTTTAAAAAGGAATGACAACAAATATGATACAAAAGGAATAACAATGTCAACAACAACAACTTATTCAGCTCCATCATTCGCACCATCCCCATCATCATCATCAAATATGAAATCATGAAAACAAAAACAGTCTGACTCTATGGGCTCATTTTTTTATAGTGGTGGTGTTAAGCAGGGATTGTAGGTCACTGACAGCTCCAAGGTCAAGGGTCATCATAAGCCTGCAGCGGTGGGCTATCCACATCTGTGTATCCATTTGTCTGCCTGTGACTGGTGGCATCAGAAGAAGAGGGTCTTTGGCGGAGGCGAGGCATCATTAGCCACGCCAGCTGAGGTGGAGCCCAGGGATGAAGAGAAGAGGGCTTGTGACCCTTCTCCTCTTCATCCCTCATCATTCATTAACCTGTCCTGTGCGTTGTCAATCTGCCTCACCCCCGGTTGCCCTCAGAGCTCCAGCTCCTTGGACACTTTGGTGGCAATGTCTCTAAAGGCTAACGGTGCCCCCCAGAGGCGCTTGAACTTTACACCGCTGCTCTGGCCCAGCCCGCTGGGCAGCTGGCAGACCTCGGCCTCGAAGGCCACGCGGGCCCCGGCTGCTCCGTGGGTGCAGGACAGGAGGAAAGGCCCAGCCAGGTGGACCTGGCAGCCGCAGCCCTGTGCCGCCTCACGCAGCGCAAGCACCACCTCGGCCGGGTCGCGGGGGCTCCGTACCCTCACATCCCAGCCGCATCGGGGGGTCCGGGGCTCGGCCGCTTTCTGATGCCCAGATAGATGGCGACTGAAAAGGTTAAGAAAAGGGAGGGGTGATGCAAATGGAGGAGATAGATGGAAAGTTTTTAAGAGAAGAGCAAAGGCAGAAGAAGAGATTTAAATGTAGGATGATGAATGGTAAAGTGTGAAGACAAGTGATTGAATGTGTGGTTGTGTGAGAATATGAGTGGTTAGGGGGAGGGGAGGAGAAGAAAGACAATTAATATCACACACATCACTGGATTTTGATTCTGTTCCTAGGACACAGATGAGTCAAAGTCTATTTTCTACACTAACACATAATTGCTGTTCAAATAAGATATGAAAATAAACATTTCTTCTTTAAAAATGTTTTATAATGAGTAACATGAAAGTGGTCAGTGTTCAGTGTAATCAATAATTATCGTCTGTAATGGACTTCTTGTTCTGGAGCAACACGTGACAACAAACAGCATAAAACCTGCTGGTAAAAAATATAATTTAATGCATTTTCTATTAGTCCAACATTATAGTTCTATTATCTACCACAGGGAGACACACTCAGCATCTACCACCACAGTCCGTTTGCTAATGTTAGCCTGGTGCAGCTGGTTTACCTGCTGTTTTTAACCTGAGACTGGGCTGGAGCAGCTGAGGCTGAGAGGGAGCGCACACCAGTTTGAGTAAAATAAAAAGAGACCGAGACTCAGTTTACAGAGATTACAGTACAAGAAATGAATGCGACCTCTGAGCTATGATTCAGTGGTCTCATGTGGCTTTTGATTACTGACAAAAATATTTTTGAATTTCATCCAGAGGTGAAAAATATCTCTGTGTGCTGGCCATGATTTCTGTTAAAGTATGTCTCATATAAATAATATGAAACAGCATGAGTGTGATTTCATCTCTGTAGCCTCTCAGTAACAAATAAATGAAGAAAAGAATAGACAGCAGTAACAGCCATTTATAGCAGGTCACATTTCTGATACAGAGGTTTACATACGTCTTTTTATTTTTTATTTAAGATGCTTGCAAGGAAGAGACTTTACATGATGTATCAAGATTTGTATTTGCCTTTAAACTTGACAAAGACTTTAAGATGATCTAGATGTGCTATAGCACATTATAGAGACTGTAGAGAGGGAATAGAGCAGGTCATTATACAATACACTGAAAAAAACAAACCAAATTTCAATTATTCTTTATACTGCTGAGTAACGTAATCTATACCTAACAGTAAAGCCTAAGATTCTCTCCTTAATCTACACTACATGGATGGGATAATTTCCTTAATTAATAATTTGAATTTGAAAAATAATTGGTAACTAAAGCCTTAACAAATGCAGCGAAGCACCTTTTATCTGTAACAGTTCACAAGCGTTGACCTTTGGCGACAAATGTGACAGAGGCACTCACACTGCTGAGCTTTCTTATAAATAGCCTGATGCGTTTCATTATTCATGACCTGTTTCGGCTGCATAAGGGGGAAAAAAAACACTTTGTAGGGTATCGAGGGTTACTGCTGCAAACCTGCATCACATGTGAACCTGTGATTGGTGAAAACATGGCTCTGCTAACTGAACCCTGAATTCAGTGAGTGTGCACGATGTGTCTTTCTGCCTCCAGCGTGCTTCGACATGTTTCCGTGTGAAAAATAGCCTCTGTTGGAACTTTATTTCCTGTACTGGTTAATAAAACATGTTTACTCACCTTGTGACCGGAGATCTGCTGATTCTCTCAGGTTCGTCTGTGACCCTCAAGAAGAAAAAAAAAATTTATCTGTTAGAAATCAATCGGCCAACCGCTTTCTCACACAACCCCTCCCCTTCCACACCCACCACCCCCATTTCCTGTCAATCAGCAGCACAGCTAATGGACCAATCCACTAAACACGACACAGAACATGATCTTCAAATCACAGATGGATCACCGACCTGCACTCACTGCACTGAAACACTGGATGGATGTGAAACCACAAAAATCGACAAAACGAGTGAGAAGGATGAACAAATGCCGAGGGGGTGAATTTATGGCAGCAGACCAGGTCTCAACACATAGTTTGTGTTACACGACTCACGCAAACGCAGACTTTAATGCTGGTAGAAGCACAAATTAGTGAGTTACAAGATGCCAGCAGGGTACTCATGAGATACATTTGTACTGACAGCTTTTTCACAGGCTTTACGACTGCATTTCACGACTTTTGTTTTAGCTTATACTGGACAAAGAGACTGCCATTTTCTACTCCTACTGCACTGCGAGCGGTCGTATGCATCCATTCACGCACACTCATGCAGACCACACATTCAGACAGTGCTCTATTCTGTGAACGCTCTTTTTTTATATGATACCCACACTCTCACGCTGATGGATGCATCAGCAGCAATTTGTGGTTCGGCGTCTCGCTGAGGACATTCAGACTAGAGGAGCCAGGGATTGAACCACCGGTCTTCCGGTTAGTAGATATAGGACACTATGACATAGAGCCTTCATCTGTAGTTCGGATTCAGGAGACAGAGCCCTTTCTAATTTTAAGATTAGGATTCAAACTTTCCTCTTTGATGAAGCTTATAGTTAGTTAGTTCCCATGATGCACTGAGCACTTCTTCTTCTCCTCCACCCTCTTTAATAGCTGCATGTCATTGATTTTCTGTCTGCTCTCTCCTGTAGTTTGTGCCGTCTCCAGGACCACATGATTTGCTACGATTACACTCACACAGACGGGCTGGTTAATACAGATCCCATCTGTGTCCACCGGGGGCCACTGTTGCTATTCACGCACTTGACTGATGGCTTCCTTCCCGCCAGCATGGCAACCTGATCTCTATTCCTGGAAATGGGGGTGACTTTGAAGGAGCCAGCAGTGAGTTTTCACTGACAGATTAAGTTTGAAAAAATGAAACCTAATATGAACTAAGATGACCGTTGCTCTGACTAAGGAGCTGTTGTGGTGCAGAGGTTTTAATCAGGGCTAAACAAATGTTTAGATTGCGTAGCTCAATGTTTTGACTGCATCACACAAAATAAAAAGTAGAGAGCGATCCGTCCTAATCCCCAGGAATAACCACTGGGATACACCTTTACGGGAAAAAGTTATCCAAGTAATTATTAAGCAAATATCTCGAGGGGAATTCTTTAGGTTTAAGAACACTAAACTTGACCATTATAATTGAGTTTGAGGTGCTCTATAAAGATTATGACCTTGACATCTTGTCTGTGTAAAGAACGAAAATAACACTCCTGCTCCTCCAAAACAAGGAGCATCGCATCCTCATGAAGGAATTCAAGTGTTTTGTGAGCAACGAGTGTGGAGTGGCAGACTGACCAGACTCTGCTGTGAGTCAGTGACTGTGTGCAAACGCTAAAGTATGTAAACTGCAAAAAAACAGATTGTGTGGGGGAGAGAGAAGCAGAACAAAAAGAAGAGGACAAGGACGCAAAAAGGGAGAGGAAAAAAAGACCGAAACTGGGACGAGAGACAGACAGAGACAATTTGCGGCAGTGTAACAGAACAATCTGCTGGTATCGTGAGGGAGAGCTGCACGCAATCCCAGTTTAAGACACAGATAAACTGTGGTTATATAACTAATCCTGGTTTAAGACGGCAGTGATGCTGGGTCAGTCGGTTAGGATGACTGTAGCAGGCCCAGATGCTTCTTACAAGCCTCTTCTCCTGCGGAGCGCTAAGACGCACGCTGGGTACATTTACAGTCACGGTTCAACATATTTGTTGTATCGCATTAATTGTCAACAGTTACAGCATGATCCATTAGCTTTCTGACACCTTGTATACCATTACAGCAATCTCCACATTGCCATAGTCTAAATTAAAACGTCCTGTGCATCCTGTGCAAAAACCCTTCAGACCTTTCCTCAGTTTGTTTGCTCTAGAAAGAATCCTTAGCTATGGACCGATGTCAAAAATATCTTTTTAAACACTTGAAATAATATTTTATAACATTAGATGTGAAGAAAAAATCAAGACAGTTATCTAGAAGTGGATAAAAGTGATATTTTTGACATACGTTGCTGCTAAAACCCATTCAGGAACGCACCATACGTCACACTTTTCAGAGGGATAGAACCTGCCTGTCTTCATCTCAGCTCTTCTTCCTTCACCCCCTGTGTCTTTCTTGTATAAAATACACCCCCCTTCCTTTCTGTCCTGGTTTCTCTGCTTTCGCTGAGAATCCAAAGCCCTGCTGCTGCACGACTGATGATTTGTTAACAGCATGGACAAACATATGGTGTTGATTTTGTGACTCAAAGTAGTGCAGTTGATCTGCAATAAACTCATACTCCAGGGAACGCACAAACATACACACACATCTCCATAGTGTTGTTTATTCTACACTCTGCATGAACAAGAGTGTGCGTGTTGCCCATGCGCTTGTTTGTGAGTAGTGATTTCTAGCTATAATAGCTAAAAGACCTAACATCCTACCTGATGGTAACATTTAAAGCCATACTACAGTAAAAAGGAAAACTTAAACATACATTTAAAATAGAAATAATTCACATTTTTGTTGCTTTTAAGTGCTTTGCTAGAAGCAGGTAATGGTGCTGTGCTGTTTACAGCCTGTAGTGAGTGCTACAGCCTAAAGCTGAGCCACTGGAGATGGGAGGAGTGACAAAGAGACACTAAAGCAGACAGCAGCTGATCAGAGTTTTAGAAACACAAACACGCTGGTTTTGAGGTAAAGCTGCTCTACTGGAAGAAGCAACCATCAAACATTTCATCAGTGGACTTGGCCACAACTTTAAGTCACAGATCTGCAGAGTTTAGTCTTACTGCATTTCAACTTTCTAAAGGGAAGTTTGAATCCTGGATTTTTATAACCTTTTACGTCAGTTAATGGAAACATAAAACCGAGTGTGTACAAACAGTGACCGAGCATGGGTGAATAAGCACATCAAGTAACATAAAAGGAGAAGATGTATCACAACAAATTTCTGCATGGTAAGCAAGTTAAGCGTGGGACTTTTAAAAAACCTTTTAATGCAGCAACAACTGTTTTTATCTGTTTTATGTATGAATGCACAATGAATAACCAGAAAACACAACGTAGCCCAAAGTTATGCACTATTATGTTTTGAGTACTCATATATTTAAATAAAAGATTTGATCGGACTTGATCCAGATAAGATGGATGTATTGAAAATAATAAATAATAAAGAGATTTTACAAAAATAAAAATGTCTTTAATAAATCGAAGAACTTTTGAGCAGTTATGTCGATGCTGCAGATCAAATAGTGCTGACCAACATAAAGAAAGGCAGCATTTCACATGCACACTCAATGCTCACAAGAACCCCGCCTTTAGTCTATAAGCATATAATGTATTTTAACAGCCAAGATATACAAGACAAATATGCTTTATAACTAAATTCCAACTGCATATTAGGCTTTTTCATATTTTCTCTCACACGTATCCTGCAAACTGGTTCTGGGTTTGAATCCACTGGTGGGGCCGGACGTTTTGCATACATGTCTTTGGATAGTACTTCAAAGGCCATCTAAGATTTTTTAAGACCTGCTTATGTTATTTCATTTATCAACTATTCTTCACTTTAAAAAAAAAAAAATCAAAATTTTGATTTTACCACCATGAAGCTAAAATATAAATTTTAGTGGAAATATTTGACTGAGACAGTTGACTTATTTATATTAATTACTACCTTTAGAGTAGCTTTGCCTCAGATAAAACTTCATATAACTAAACTCTGACCTGCAACAGACTGCAACAGTGAATGAGGGGTAGAGGGGATGACTGAGCACTGGCAGGCAGACAGACAGTCAGATGGACAGAAGCAGCCAGAAAACATGGGAAAGGAAGACTTACTAACTGTTTTTGTTCCCTGCGGGAGGGTGCAGCCCGACATGGACTTGTTTGAGCTCTGACGTTTAGAAGGGTCAAGAGTGACCCTAGGAGGAGAGAGGAAGAAGAGAAGGAGGTGAAGAGAGGATGAGAGGAATGGAAAAAAATGGAAAATTGAAAGTTTTTGAAAGAGAGATGTGAGTGGAAGAAAAAGCAAGTGAAGGGGTAGACAACACAGAGTGACAGTAAGAAGCACAGGTAGAAGAGGTGAAGAATTCAACATCAGGTACTGTAGTTCAAGAAAAGAAGGATAGAAGACTGGAAGGTGACTGGCAAGAAAAAGCCAAAGTGGTTAAAGAATCAAACAAACAAACAGATAAAGCAACAATAAGCAGCCAAGAACAACCGTGAAAGACATACAGTGTGTCCACCTAGCGCGCAGACCTGGGTCAGATAGGTTATCGTTTACCTTTTTAGCTTTAATTGCCACTAAGGTGCAGTAAGGCGGAGGTGCCTCAGGAATACAGTTCATGGGAGGAACTGAAAAAAGGAGGTAACCATGCTGAATAAAATCGAATTTTTATAAATTTAAACCGGTCTTCATATACTGTCCATCGATGTCGCAGGATTGTGTGGATGTGTGTGTTTACTGTTGGTTTACTGTTACATGCAGACAGCTTTACTTCTTCAGGACAGAGTAATTCATATTTTGTCTTGTAGTGTAGTAAGATGTACACACTTGGAACATTACACAGCCCCCACAGTCAAATCTAAATAACTAAAAATGAATTAGTGCAGTAAATGGTAACTTTAGTATTCTGTGATGTTTGAATCTGTGGTTAGCAGTGGGTGGATTTTTCCATGAAGATGTGGATGTGGCGAAAAAAAAAAGACTGAGAATCTTGAATGTGAGAAAATTAAATTGGCGAACAATATTTGAACACTATTAGACCCAGGTCTGACACTCCGGAGGACAAGTTCTGAAGCCTGTAAAGCTGAATTATTAGAGAAGGAAGGCTGGTAGGTTAGTACTGGTTAAGGAGACGTGACAGGCAGCAAGGTTATCGAAATGATCTTCATGTGCAGAACTACACTGTCTAGTTGTAAGCTCATAATCAGACAGGCCTGTACTGTCACTTTACCACAACGATTAGCAGTATTACTAAACATTTAACAAAAATACGTGCAGATTTATTAACAAGCCACTGTTTTTCTACCAGTTAGCCCCGTCCACTCCCTGTTTCTTTGTTACTTAAAGCTTTCAAAAACAGTAAGACTTGACATTCAAACATCTAGCTTCTCCTCTTACCTGCGAGTCAGCTTGGAGGTGATTTTGCTGAGCAGGTTGGTCGTACCCCGGGTCCTGGCATGGGGCAGTGGGCTGGCATCGTGGGACAGCGTAGGAGACGCTGGAGGAGCGTGAGAGGGAGGCCGGCGGTCTCTAATCTGCCCTCCGTGAAAAGTGCTCCTCACTGTGGATCCCCGGGACAGACGGGAGGAAGGCGTGGAGGATGAGGAGGAGGTCCCAGAGGCACCTGCAATGCTGTGGGTAGAGGGGGAGGCAGGGGGGAGGCGGTGGGATGTGGAACTGGAGAGGTGGGTGAGGGTGGAGAAGTTGCAAGTTAGACTATTAGAACAAGTGCAACTGTTCAGGAACCATACAAGCACCAAACCATTTATACATATTTGATTACGGCTTTTCCAAACATCTGGAAGGAAGTGCGTTCAACATAAACAGAATCAAACCAGAGAAGTTACATTCACATTATAACTGCAGCATAGGCTGTTTGAGCCAGTGTTAGGCAACAATCACAAAACTGCGCATTTTCACTTCACTTTCAGACCCCAAATAGACCAGTGTGACCCATCTTCACTGGAAAAACGCGCCACCTCGAGCAGTGATGTGACTCACTGATGTGTTTGTGACAAACAAAGGCTCGAATGAATCGGTGGCAGAAAACACTCGATAGCAAAATAAGAATTTTTCATCTTTCATTTGGATTTTTTGACATCAAGTGCAGATTATTAGCAGACTTATGGCTTTAAGTTGGATTTAACATGCCAAGTGCATTTAAAAACACTTAATCATTACGTAAATGGGTTTCTTCATGGCTTAAACTGGGGTTAAAGACAAGCTCCATCATTAGTTTGCAGTATTAAACAAAATCTATGGACACTGATAACTGGCTGGCTGATAAAAGGTGAATTATCCTTGACTATATTTAACAACCTAACAATTTAAAAATAATTATTTGTCCGGTTTGATTTTACAATTCTAATCAAAGACGTCAACAGGTGAAATTATAATGAGCTGTTCGCAAACAGACTTTATTTCAGACTTTTCAAGAAAAATGAAAAGTCTGAAATAAAGTCTAAAAGTAAAAGACAGAAAGACCAGCAGAGCTAGCTGTCATACATTTCACACAGGTTGTTTTCTAACCTGAAAATTAACCCAAAATATTCTCTCTCTTGTGAGCGCCTGCATGCCCCACTACCTCATGTCCAGTTCCCCTCTCCTGTCACACATTTATGCACCTACGCACATAAACCACATCCACACCTCTCCACCCCTGACTCTCAGGCTGGCTGGTGGCCTGAGGCTGCTTTTCATAACGCTCTAGATAACACCCACACACAGGGTTCAAGTGGGACAGAGCCATTAGATGGGTTAAGCTGAAGCGCAGCCGTTGCAGAGCAAAATCGTTTAGCGTCAATGTGAACTGGCTGCCTACTGAGGCTCACCTCAGGGGGCACACGGGGGCTGGAGAGAGCAGAGGACAGCGGGACGGGGGATGGTTGAAAAAAAAAATACATTTTCTGTTCTGTAGCTGTGTGTGGTTTTGTACGCAAGTTTCACCAGTGCCTCAAACTAATGTCAGTGCTTGATTAGTTAAAGCAGAGATGTCAAACTTAAGGCCCGGGGACCAGAATGGGCTCGGCAAAGACTCCTATCCCACCCAGTGGATCGCTCTGGAAAATAAACTTTTTCTGAGGTTTTAATAGTTTTCCTACTGATGAAGACCTCCCCTCTGGCCATTGGTATAATACCAACGTAATTAAGAATTAGTTAAACAATTAAAGGTTTACAGATGTCTTAATCGGTCACAGACATTTCAGTTTTTTTTATAATGGGGGTCACCATTAAAAAAACAAAAACAAACCTGAGGCATACTGTTGAAAATGTTCCCTCCTATATTGAGATATTTTGAGGATTAAACATGTAATTAAGCTTGTTTACATTGACAGATAGGGGAGTTTTATTGGTCTGACCCATTTAAGATAAAAAATGGTCTGTAAAATAAAAGTGTAAAATGTAAAATAAGTTTGACATCCCAGAGTTTGGGGAACTCCTCTGATTTCTGTTTTTAACATACATGGATTATTACAGCTGACCCATTGCTCTTTTCATATACCAAAGAGCATCTGCATTATGTCCTGATAATGAAGTCCCTTATCTTCCAGTCTTATCACAAGCTGACCTCAAACATGAACTTTGGACAGTGTCTGAGGAATCCAGGACACAGCTATTCTATTCTGTACAGCTGTGTACTGTATTTATTCTTATTGTATTCTAATTTTTGCGTCATAACTTTTGCACTGTCCACTTCCTGCTGTGACAAAACAAATTTCCCACGTGTGGGACTAATAAAGGTTATCTTATCTTATCTTAGCTTCCCTTTCTCACATGTAGCACGCCCCAGGAAATGACCCACCTAATGCTTTGTCATTACTGCAAATACTTTGTGTGCTTTAGGTAAGGGAGTTGCCCTGGTAGAGCGTGCAGGAGGCAGGACACATGATGCCCACTTGCTAGCTGTAAATGCACTCAGCTATTACCCGCCCTGGTCACACATCAATCCCCAGAATCCGATGTCCTAGGTTGCTGGCAGGTTAGAAATCAGCTAATATTCGATCTGACTGCATCAGATATTTGTGCTCTCACGTGCACTTCTGTGAGGTGAGGCCTTGAAATGTTCAGGGCTGCAGCGCATTTGTGAAAACAGCTTCTTCACACATAGTTTGAGCTCAGCGGAGGACCTGATGTAGGCAATCAACAAACGAACAGTCACGTAAATTCAAGTACCGAACATGCGCCGTATTTTGGGCTTTTATTCTGATCTTTTAGGACTACAGGTTAGACAGTTTTCATGTACAATTTGTGCGTGTGTTTGTTCTTCCATGCACGTGATTTTCCCATCAACCACTCTGGCATGGCATCACATTGACAAGGCCTCTGAGGCAAATGGAGGGTTATGTTGGTGCAACGCCAGTCCTCACTTCATCCTGCTGCTCCCTCCTGTTCACCTCCTCTCCCGTCTCTTCCTCCCCCCTCTGCTTTCTCTTCTCCTCAACCTTCCTTTGTTTAGAGCAGACATTTATCCTGCACGCTCTAACACCACCTGTTAAATCATAACAGTGAGCTACAGCAGAGGATGCTGCCTCGGTGCAATGCCTAAATCGAACAGTGTGGGGTGTGTCGTCTTCTCTGCTCACAGGAGAGTAAGCGTCTCCTGAACAGCAGTGATTCAGCGTTTCATCCAAATCACCAGTTGATGTTTTTTGTTTTTTAACCCTCTTCCTCGTATCTATTTTGAAAAGCATGATGGTAGGTAGACACGTTTGTGCAGTTTACTGATGTCACACTGTTGGCATTTTTTTCATACCAACATTCACTACTTCTTTGTCGCCATCATATGATACCCCCTCCTACCAAAAATGATTTGCACAAACACTTCATTCATTTTTTGTGCGCTGATTTGACTAAGATCTGAAAACTTGTATGCACTTGATACACCCTTCGCCTGGCCTACCCCTAACTGCCCCATGTGTGCAAATGTTTTTACTGGAGGTCAGACAGCAGACAGAAACCTTCAGGCTCTCCCTCTGAGAGACAAAATTAAAGCGTGATAAAGAGACAGAGGCGCAGAAAACAGGGCAGACAGACTGAAAGTGAGACAGTGACCACAGGAAAAGAGAGAGAGAGTGAAGTAGAGTGAGACAGACACAGCAAGAGAGGGGACGTTGACTGCCATGCTCAGAGACCGACAAGGAGACAACCATCTGTCGTAACAACAGACAGTTCACACTGGGTACACAGAGCTGCACACAGAACAAAGACAAAGCCACTGATGTGCAGTGTTAAGCCCTTCATCCTGTCTTGAAGAGACAAAATGTGTGTGTGAAACATGCTAAGCTTTGTGCTAAAAGGGGACAAGCTGTACCAGTCAAACCGGTCTTTACAAAACTTATCACAGTGACATGTTCCACTGTACTTGCAATTAATACAAACGCATTTCCCAAAGTGTTGAAAATAGTTAAAATAGATGCAATGTGAAGATGCAATGTGCCGGCGAAACCAGCCATTTAATCACCAGCCTGAGCTTCAATTCTATACTTAACTCACTGCCTTTAAGGCTCTTCAGGGACAAAATGGGTGTAATTTAGAGCTGTCTGAACTGAGGTGAGGGTGTAGCTATCCAGACCTAACAGTCTGTAAATGGAAGCCAGAGATTTTTATCATATTTAAACAAAATTCTGATCTGAGGTTTGAAGTGCGGGCGATTTATCGGGCTGTGTTCTACTAATAAATATATTGATATACATGAATGCTACTGAATGTGGTCCAAATTCACGCAAATAAAGCTAATCTGCCCCCTTTCAGTTTAAAATGATTTCAGAAGAGGCCTCTAGGGAAATAGCGAAGAAACAAATTGTCTGCTTTTTGAAAGATCTCATTAGTACCTGCTGGGTGGATCTTATACTTCATATACACATTTGCAACTCTCACCTGTTTTCCTTGCCGTTTTGTAGCAGGGCGTGTCTATCAGAGTTGGATCGGTCTGTGCACACATACGTGTTCCTTCGAGTCATAGCACTAGCAGGGATGTTATTCTGGAGGAGAAGAAAAGCCTGTAAATTATGTGAGATTATGTGAAAACAAAGATTGCCCTGGATTGACCTCTGAGCTCTGCCTGTATCTGCCGTGGAGAACATTAAAGAGTTAATCTCAGATTATTCTGACTGCAGTCTTCAACCCTTTGCATGCAAACTATGCTCTTCTCATGATTAATTTCTAATTTGATGATTTATCTCAAAACATGTAATAGTTTTACTTCTCTGATTGTCTCCAGTCTGTGGAGGATATTTTATTTTTGGTTCCCATTATATTTATTTTAATGTAGCCTTAAAGGGCTGTAATCTGAGGTAATTGGATTAGGTGGAGTGTTAGGGCTCTGCCATCTGTTGTATTGATAAGGGGGTTAAAAAGTGACAGATTAGATTCACTAGACGGTTCCTCCCACCCGCACATAAACCTTTTGGGCTTACCGTGGTTGAGTTAACCTCCTTACGCCGGTCAGGTATCTCAGATTTATTTGGGTTGTGAGCAGAGCTAACCATGGGACTGGAGGGGGTGGGGATGCTACGGGAGCCAACAGTGTTGGTGCTTGGCTTGCGTATCGACAGCCGCTCCTCTCTAAGCCCCGCCCCTTCAGCTACGCCGCTGGGACTTCGTTTTGGGTGTGTTGATCCTGGAACAGCTGGACCGCCTGACAGAGCAAAGGTTCTCAGTGAGCTAAATTTATGCAGATTCAAAGTCTCAAGATGAATAGAAACAAATAAAAGTCATCAGTATTTTGCCTTACAGAAATCAGAGTGTCGTCTCTGGCGGTGGTACGTGGAGGCACTGCGCTGTGCCTTATGGCCAGAAGAGGAAGACTGTGCACCCGAGGAGCAAGAAGAAGTGGAGTGCTTGCTTGTTCCGTTGGTGATGCCGCCGGGCCGGATTCGAGCCAGACTTAAAGTGCTGCTAGACCGAGAGTCAGTGACCTCCGTCTGAGATACAGACATGCACAGACACACAAACGATATAAAATTACAACTGGACTCGATCATTGATCTTCATCAACCGAGAGCAACGGAGGCCAGTTCATATGTCAGTCTTAATTAGTCTGGGTGTCATGACTGTAGCACATCACAACTGTAAACAAATTAGGAAGCAATGGCACCAAAACTATCTTCTCAACCCTGTTTTACTGCTATGTAAGCATAATATCTAAGTATTAACCATGACAGCTTATTAACAGCTTCATCGTAAGGTCAGGAGCAAAGGAAACGATTTACCTCCGTCTTGCGTCCCAGCAGCAGGTATGTGGCAGTGAGCTCATTGTATTTTCGATTGGCCAGCGCATCTCTGATCTCTTCTCTGGTGAATCCCATCCCAATCATCACATCTAAAACAAAAAAATACTTCAGAACTTCTGTACAACGAAACGTTCTGGACAGTTTAAAATTATGGTGCTAAATGGTAACATTGTACTGACATTTTACTTAAGAGGCTTAGCCTATAATATTCCAGTGTTTGCTCAAGAGCTGAAAATTAGGCCACTTTTGAACATCAAGGCACCCACTATTATTTTTTATCTTAACCTCCCACTGAATAAAGAGGAATGCCTCCAAAGGTTTAGGGATAAAAACTCTGCCTATAGGACCTTACTGAATATTTCTTTAACCCTTCATTTCAGTAACCTCATGAAAAGATATCATTTAATGTTAAATTATTAAGAAAACATATTAGTGATTAAGATATTTCTCACCAATGCGGCCGGTATCGTTAAAGTCTTCCACAGGCTCCATGTGAGGCTTCAGCTCATCGCCATCATGGCCAATATTAATCCACTTGTCTTTCATTATTTGCTAGTCATGAAAGAAAATGAGAGAAAACACAGAAAGCTTAAAACTGCCATGTTTGATTTAAAAAAAACATCACAAATCTGACATTTATATTTTCTTTTTGGATATTTTCTGTGTATGCGTCTTGGATTTATTCCACTAAATGTGCAATAAACCTGTCTTCACCTCCAGCGAGCAGCGCTTGGTGGGGTTGAGGACCAGGAAGCGGCGAAGGATTCCCTCGCAGTCTGTTGACATGTAGAAGGGCACGCGATATTTCCCCCTCAAAACACGCTCTCTCAGCTCCTGAACACAACACACATCCGGACACCATTAGTTTAAACTACAGGTGCACTAAGACATCAACAAAAAAAAAACAATAACACAATTAAATGGAAGTTTATTGTTTTTCAGAATTGTACATTATGTGATCCTGCAGCTGTAAATGGGCTAAATGTAGAGAGAACTGAGATTAAGAGCTATTTATAATGACTTCAGACAAATTAAAACTAGTTAACATTGTAAATGTAAACTACAAGGTTAGTTTTTGCGAAACTGTTTAAATTTCTCCTATAATCTGGGCTTCAGAGACACGTGACTGTATCTAAATTAATGCACAAAAACATCTCCGTGATGGATTATTCTCAAAAAATAAAAAATAAATGAAAAAAAATCAAACAGATAAGGCTGTAAGCTCTGAGCCACCTCAAATGACATTTCAATCTGAAAAGCCCTGGCCTGATGTCACCCACCTTTAGGTTCTGTCCATCAAAGGGCAGGGACCCGCTGACAAGCGTGTACAGAATTACCCCCAGGCTCCAGATGTCCACCTCTGGACCGTCATACTTCTTCCCCTGGAAGAGCTCGGGGGCAGCATAGGGCGGGGAGCCACAGAACGTGTCCAGTTTATTACCCGTCATGAACTCATTACTGAAGCCAAAGTCGGCTATTTTAATGTTGGAGTCGGCGTCTAGAAGCAAGTTCTCCGCCTGCAGCAAACATGGTAGACAACAGAAAACTCTGAATACAGACAAGGTTCATAAACTCAAGAATAACTGACTATTATTTTGAATCTATAACACACTTTGGGCCTAAATTAAGCTTTGTAGCTTTGAAAATGTTACAGGTAATTCAGTAAATTCTGTAACTAATTTACACTTATCTAAAAGGAAGAATTCTTAATATCTTGTGCCAAGATTCTGGGTAATCACCTTCAAGTCTCTGTGAACAATGTTCTTCTGATGACAGTAGTGCACCGCTGAAACAATCTAAGGAGACAGAAATACAAAATGAGCTCATACAAGAGAACATAACTGAACCTAATGTTGTCCTTCAAATGAATGGCTCCTATACTACAAGCTCAATTCAAAGATGCCAATGCCCGCTTTCTAAACTAAATGCATAAATAAATTGATAAATCCTTTAAAACTGAAAGACTAGCTGTGCATCAGGTTTAGGCTGTGACACACTCAGACATACGGTTGAGGCCAGCTGTGGAGTTTCACTGACCTGTCTGAACTTGGCTCTGGCCTCTTTCTCCTTCATCCTGCCATGAGCCACGAGGTAGTCGAACACTTCCCCTGAAAAAACACAAAAACATTGAAATACAGGCCATTTATTGTTCTTATTTAATGAACCACCCATTAACAAAGACTAAGAATGATTTTCTTTAAAATTAGCAGTACTTAAATAATTCTCAGTTTTTTCAACACTCAATCTACTATCATTAGACTGCATTAAAATTTGAGGATTGTAGTGAGTGGGTTTACAAATGTGCCAAACAACATTTGGTTCAAAATCAGAAGGAGACAAAAATCTCTTTAGCGTTGCATCAGGAGGGGAAAACATTTGTAAAATTTGTCAAATCATATGTGCCGTTTCCTGCTGTAGTGACTCCTTGAGGATAAGGGACCAAAAGCAGCATCAGTGCATTTAAAACATCACAGAAGTTATTAATTTGACTTATTAAATTCAGCAATTTTCACAGATTGCGGATCCATCCAGAGAGCCCTTTGGCAGCCCGGCTTTGGACACTGGGCCATCTCGTGTTTTAGAGCATTTATGGCCATCACGGCCTTGCCGTATTGGTCCATTTGATCGACCTTTGTTGTTATTATTTATTTTATTTTCAGTTGTTACAGACGGGACAGACATGACTGAGGGATAGGAAAGGGAGAAAGAAAAAGACAAGAAAACAAGCAAAAAAAAAACAAAAAACAGAGCAACATACTAAACACAACACCATCGCATTAATCTAGCTAAGTGTAAACAGCAGTAAATACTAAATATTGAATGTTGTTGTGCAGCACGCAGGACCGACAGCACACAATGTGCCTTGAAGTAGCAGTCAAGAAAGGTGTAGTTTATGTCTATGAACAGTGAACACCCGTGTGCACACCTGTGTGGATCAGCGCGCTTGTATTCAAAAGGTTTCCCCATGTAACGATCTGCTAGAGGATGTAGAGAGCCATAGCCCCGTCCCCCAGGGCATGAAGCAGGCATGGAGGAGATCCAGGCTCCAGACATCCAGAGGCCCCAGAGTGCGAGAGCCCAAGGAGGACCACCGGAGGGGCTTCCGTGCCACCCTCCTGGGAAGAGCTGAGGAGAGCCCCAGACGAGGGGTCACCCAGTAGCCACGGAGCAGAAACCAGAGGGGGCTGCACCGGCGTGCCCGCCGGCTCTGCCGGCAGCCAGCTGTGCCAGAGTGAATCCAGCCGGAGGCCCGAGGGCCCCCTTTGCCTCGGAAGAGGCCTGACCGAGCAACAGGCGCCATGATATAAGCAAAGTAATTGGACACACTATATTCGGGAAACATGAAGTATGAAATCCTTTTGTTTACCCGTCCTCCCTCTAAACATTTAATTTGTTAAACAATGAAGCAGGCTGAGCTGATCTGAGCAGCATGTCTGCTGGTGAGCTGATGTCTCCTTATTAGGCATTGTAAGTAAGAGATCACACAACATACAGAGAGAGCAGGGAAGAGAGATTAAGGGATCACGAAGACAGAAGAAAAAAAAATAAAGACGCTGCAAAAATAGATTAGTGCCTGGGAAACTGCTGAACAATGGCTGAGTGCAAGATGAATAGAGGAACAGCTCCGAAAAAGACGGAGGAGAAAACATTAAAGTAGTGAAGCAAGACCTCACTAATGCAAATGGAGTAAATACTCTAAGTTAATTATCTCTTTGGTTGGACTGTACAGTTCAGAAGTAATGAAGCTAATTGGCACAAATCTATACTTGGCAATGCAGATGAGGGAGGTGATGGTGTCACTCACCTCCGCTAGCGTACTCCATAATCAGGTAAAGTGTCTTCTCGGTCTCAATCACCTCAAATAACTGGACTGTAATACACAGAGAAAGATTTCAGCGCAAAGGCCATCGTGGAAACATACATATAGAACAAAAAGTTGTGCGAGTTGACTCACCTATGTTTGGATGGTTCAGAGTTTTCATGATGCGTACCTCTCGAAACACCTGAACAGGAGAGGAAGAAAAAGAAATCTCAAATGAATACATGATGCAAACACATGTAAAGGATGAAGGTCATTTAAACTGCTGCTTTTGGTCAATCGTGCCGTGAAAATAACACCAAAGTAGGAGCCGTTTATTTGTGGAAGAACACAAAATCAAAAAATGCTTTTATTAATTTTAAATGAACCGTTTAACCTGTCATAGGGACAACACACACTTAATGAGGATACAGAGGAAACTGTCAGAATCGCAGCTATTTTTAATCTGGCTTTTTATAGATTTCACAATAATAAACTTATAAAAGAAGACACGGCAATTAAAACTACATCAAACTTGATGAATTTAATCTACATCTGAATCTCTTTCAAAGTACTACTTTTATTTTGTTTGTAGCTGAGGTCAGGTCAAGAAAAGGGCAGGAATTCAGGTATATCCATCATTACTCTAATTTATTCTCCAAATGAACAGTTAGTTCATACAGTTCACAGCTGGTGTATATACTGCTCCATCATTCATCTTATCCCTCCTCACCCACACCCACACACACAGACGCTCATCTTTCTGACCACTAGTGCTCGGGGTCACCCAAGGGAGCGTCCCACTGATGCTAGGCTGACAATAAGGCCTCCTCTCCAGGGTGGCTTTCCCTGAGGACCCTCCCTACCCCCCTCCCAATCCATCACTGAGCTCCAGACTGCTGCCTCATCCTGCCACTCTTATGCAATCACCCTCTCTCTCTCTCGTTTTCCTTCCATCTCATTAAAGTAATGCATTTGACTGGGAACACCATTTAAAAGATTACAGAGAGAATGTGCCAGGACTCACAGTGAGACATCCCAATGGCGAGTCATAAATTATTTTTAAAAACACTCATTTCACCACAGAAATGAATCAACATCAGAGAAAACTTCAAACAAACCACCTGCACACTGAACAAATGCAATTAACTCCATTCATCAGTCATCAGTTAGGTTTCATTTTGTTATTCGTAACTATGAAGGGGGAATGGGGCTTCACTGACAGGAGTGTTTCAGCGAAGCTAAGAAAACATGCTAAACTAAACAGAGGTACAGAAACATATATATTACTGTTTGTGTCATTTTCCCTATTCAGAGCGCTGCCGCAAACCTGCCTCATTAACAATTCTTTGAGAAAATATTACACATGAGTGAAAAAAGTGAAAGCGTGGAAAAAGAACAAAAGACAGAGAGAAAAGCCAGTGAAAAGAACCAGAATACAAAAACAGGAATGCTCCGATGCCTTCATTCTGGTCGCAGAACCTCAGCTGCCCTGGGAAACGCGCTCCTCCCTTATCTCGCCCTCTCACTCTGACTTTTCATCGAACAGAAAACCCAACGCCACTCATGTTTTCACGTCAGCTTCAGGCTCATAATTCCATTTTGAATCTCTGCATCTTTTCATCTAACAATACATAATTAAACGAAGGATATTTCAGATGACATACCGGCTTTTTTCTGCAAGTATGAATACACGTATAATTTGACAGTTTGTACTGCTTTCTCCACCGTTCCGTCATATTACACACTAAACAATGGGTTTCTACACATAAACCTTTAACAGACATTTGCTTACTTACAAGAATTTAAAAAAACAACACATTTCCCAATTTAAAACCATTACTTATCCAGTAATCCTGGGATTAGTCTATGTACATTTATCTACATACGCTGCAGATTCACAGAAATTCAATTTTACAGCAGGCTGGTTTACTGCTAAAAACAAATCGTCGAGAGTCTCAAGTATTTAGCCCGTGGTCGGGGTTGTCCCCTTTAGAGGTGGTCCTGAGGGTCATCGACCTATTATCGATCATCCGAGTCTTCACATGAGCCGAGGTGTTAAGCTCTCAAGACTACTTGACCTGGTAGACTGAGAGGTTACACAGACATGCATCCCAGGAATTTGCTTTTTCACATTGCGATAAAAAACGTTCCCCGACGACATTACAGTCAACTGAGGCAGCAGTGCTTTACGTGCCTGCACCTGTGTCGGAGAGATTCCTCGTAGCCAGTGGACCCAGAAGAAAATAAACACTTTGCTTTGCCTACATAAGAAGACGTCCTCTCACAGACTGATTTGCATTAGAGCAGCCAACACAGAAGCTTCCTGTTTGGTGTCGACTGGTCAAAAGTGTGACAAAGAGCTAACAGCCAAGATGCAAGAAGTGTTAAACTAATTTAAGAGTTTACGCTTTGACACACAGGAAGAACTGGATATGAATGTCAAACATGCAATGACAGTAAACAGAGTTGAAAACAACAGGAAAAGGAGACATAAAACAGAAAGCATTAATATGAATAAAAAGCAATAAAACACCTAACAACACTAAATCATAAACACGTCTGAAATTTCACTTTTTTTGAGTTTTGGATCCTCGGTCACACAGAATAAGTCACCTTAAGATAAAACCAAGGCTGTGACACTAACTGATTGGAAAAGAAACATGACAGACTAATCAATTGATAATGAAGTGCAACTGTTAACTGATTTGTATTAATGATTCGAAGAAACAGCTCTCAGATGTGAACGTGTGTGGCAAAGAGCCACGCTGTGTAGGAGACGCATTCACACATAAGAACCACAGAGGATGTTCTCTAATGTGTTATTAACACGAGTTTCTCTTCTTCTGTTAGATATTTTATCTATCCTGTGCTCCTAAAATGGGAAGCTGCATTATCATAAACACAGACACAGGGAGTCCAGTGGGAGTGTGTGTAATTGAATTAGGTGCACCGTGCATCAGCTGTTCATCTGAGCTTTAAGAAGTATTATCAGTTAAGCCTGTCCTCCCTCACCGGCACACTCATTCACCTCTCTCCTTCTCCTCCATACTCAACTAACCCTCGCTCTCCCACATTTTCTCTCCTTTTTCTTGCCTGCTCGGTCTTCCAAGTGAGAAATCAATCTGTGAGCGCTGCTTGCTGAGATGTTGCATATTTAAAGATGTGAATGACATCTGGGAATTGTTTCCAAAATGGGGGTATGTGTGAAAGGAGACTTTAGCAGCTGGCCAGGAAATTGCTGAGTCACCAGTATTGATCCATTTAATCCTCAGCTGTGCTGCTGTAGAGGCAATAATGAAGATTCTTATTGCACTTTAGGTCCATTTTGAAGATTACTAAGAATTAGCGTAATGTTATAAAGGTTTTTTTGGATTGTGATTAAATGCATAATTAATTTCAATATTTGTGTGCCTTCTTAAATTCATACTCCATTTAATCACTTCCTGGGTCTCTCTCACGGTGATGGCTCCGCGTCACAGTTGCCATGCAAACCCAGGTAATAATCCCTGGATCTCCTGCTGCCCAGGGGATTGTGGGAAGTCATGAAATGCCAAACACATGCGAAGACACAGACCCACAGCTACTGCCATATGGTCCTTTTATAGCAAAATATTGATTTTGGGTCTAAAATTTTCAGGTTTAGAAAGCGAATTGTTCGCCAAATGCAAATATTTACACAGGAAATTAATCTGCATTCTGAATGCAGCCTTCACGTTCCCTGCCTTCTCCTTGTGTTTTTTTCTAAGCAGCTTTATTTTCTTCTTAAATGCATTTCTGCATTTTTTGTCACCCTTTATTTCTCTCTCCTTGCCAGGACACAGAATTCAGTGTTGCTTTTCTGAGGATTTACACTAAGCAACTTAATGACCCACTGCTGCAGATTTTTACTCTTTCTCATAATGTGAGGAGTACTGCACACTTTTGATTCATGTGTCTGGTCTGCCAAGTCTATTAGCCTTTGACCAGTTCATCCATGCTGGGTGTCTGTTTTCTCCCCCTAACCATCCGGACAAGTATGCTCTCACAAACACACACAGAGTTAGCGAAGGAGCAGAAAGAAAGCAAACAAGCTGAAATAGAGAAATGAGGTATTGATATTTGGCCCCTTCAAATATCCACTGCAGGGTGTACAGTTTAACACACTAAAGAACTCAAACCATGAAACACACTTCCTCTCGTCAGCTGAAGCCAATCACAAGACCAGAGAATCTGAAGGGAAAAAAGGGAAGAGAGTGAAAGACAAAGAGCAGCAGAATGATGGTGACGAATAAACTCTCCACTCCCACGTCAGAGTACTTGCTGTGAATAACCCTCTGTGAGTGTGTGAACACTCTGAATGAGAGAGCCCCGCTCCTGAGCCCATGAAACATGGACGTCAGTCTGTTGTTGGGAACTACTCGCTCTAAAACTTAGCACGATGCATCGTCTGTGTGTTTATGTGCGTTCTGTCGTGTCCCTGTATATTAACTGTAAAGCTTTACGTAACCCACAGTTCAGCTCAAATTGGCATGTTTACATCTTATTATTTTATACTGAAATCCATTACCGTGAGCTGTCCGCGTGAAATAAACACATTTAAAAACTGCATTTGTGTCACGCCCACAGGCTTTTAGGCACCAGCCCTCTTCAAACAAAAAAACACAATTAATGCCATTTTGCCCTTCAGCGCGGCACAGTTCGATCAAAGGCGGTCCATGTGCACAAAACACTACAGATCATTTGGTGTTCCTGATGTGTTAGCAACAGTTTGCTGAGATACTGTTGTTGCCGATGTATTAAAAAGACACTTTAGCCTTGTAGCTTAAGGGGAACTTCTTTCTCTCATGTCCAGCTTCATATTTGTATTTTCTGATTGCACTGAAGAAGCTTTGCATGATTCACAGTTCAAAATAATCATTGTTCATCTTGTACTGGATCTTGGTGCAGCTCCTCAGTTCAGAACAAAGTGTTTTAGTTTCTTCCCCTTTAAGGCCAAGCTCTTGCAACCACTTTAATTTCTGATTAGCTGCCCTTCGTATACAAAATGTTTGGTCATTGTACGAGATGAAGTTGGGTTTTTTGCTTTAAAGGCTGAGGTAACAGCTGGTGTGTGTGGACTCCAAGTGTTTTCTCTTTCAGATGAAGAAATAATAATAATAATAATAATAATAATAATAATAGCAGCAGCGTCATTTCAGATCTGGATAACTAAACATGTCTATA